GGCTAAAGGTTTTGCATACTGTAGATGAATAAAAGCTGACCATTGTAAGCACCCCTGTCCAGGGGCGTCCCAGGGCTGGGTGTCACCTGGAGTGCAGACCGGGTGACACCTCATCGTGCAGGCGCTGTCGTCTTATTGACGCCTGCCGGTAGCCATCTTGGTGATGGACGCCAGAAGAGAGAGGAGGGGACGTTCACCCGGCAGGATGAGGCATGCCACCGGGTCACCTCCTCTCTCTTGACACTGTCGGGCTCTCGGTCCGTGACCTAGTGCCCGACTTTTCATAGGGGGTGACACCAAAATGACTGTCAATCATTTTGGTGTCACCCCTCCAACGGTGGCACCCGGGTACAGGCCGCACCCACCTTGTGACGCCACTGCCCCTGTCAATGTTTAGTCTTACGGCTCTATCTGCCACTTTTGCTGGACAGCTTGGCCTGTTAAAGGAAGGTAAAAAAAAAAAAAACAGACTTTCAAGCTGGATCACCAGGTGAAAATAAATGAAAACAAAAAGAGTAAACAATAAAACTAATGGAGCCACCACATTTTAGAATTGGTAAGCCTTGATAGATTACATTTTTGCTTCTGGGTTTAGATACACTTTAATACATAGTAGATCCCATCGCATTCCTGACCGGAAAACCCAAAGGATGGGTGGGGGCTAAAGTGACTGCAGATGCCTCTGCAATCAAATGTAAAGTCACTCGCACTTCAATTCAAATTAAAGTCAATCTTCTTTATTGACCATGTGTCACATTGCTAAGCGACGTTTCGGAACCATGCGTTTCTGGGCGGTGCGGTCCCATCTTCAGGCAAGGGACGTGCGGTCAGGGGAGGCAGGTGGGGCAGAGCCTCACCTAGTATTATGAAGAAAAAAGGTGTCAGCTTCAAGTCTGAAGCTGACAGCTCTTTCCCCATTCAGATCGGTTTTTATCAGGTTACACAGCAGGGAAAGCCTCCACACTGTGTAACCTGTCATGGACGGAGCGCTGTCCGTTAATTACAGGCAGCGCTGCATCCGGATTTTGAAAGGTAGTTAGGTTATACAGCAGCGAGCTTCCCCACTGCTTGTGTAACCTAACTTGGTGAGGCAAGAGCTGTCACAGCCTCTACTCTGTGTTAGAGGCGTGAGCTCTGTGGATGGCTTGGACCAATGGCAAAGCGCCATTGGTCCAAGCTGTCCAATCAAAAAAAACAAAAACCCACAGAGGCCATCGATCTCAATGCATCAGCAGTGACGAGCAAGTGAGGCTCCTCCCTGTATCCCCCCTTCCTCCTCCCCACACAGCTTGGTTACCGAGCTGGGGGTGGGGCTTGGGCTGGGCTTCGATGGGATGGGGCGGAGCTTCTGTGGGACAGGGGTGGATCTTCAGTGGGCTGGGGGATGCCTCACCCAGCACAGAAGGTACGGCACGTTACTGTTTAAAGACCAACTCTGGGCTCACTTTCCCCTGATGGCCACTCAGTAGAATGTATTTTTATTCTACTTTCCTTTATCAGACAACTTTAGTCCAGACACAACACATGCAGGATCCTCTTCTCCGGGGTTTGATGATGCAGAGAGTGGTGATCTCTGTACAGACATGGGGTGGTCCTATGACGTATTGCACTCAGGGTATCAGTCCTCCATCTTCTGAACACGGAAGACAAGGGGTATCTTGTGGTGAAGAGTGGAGGACAACTCCGGATTAAAGGCAAATATTGCCGTCTGAGCTGTTTTTACTTTAATTTTTTTATACACTGGCCGGGGAACTATTTTATTGTAAAAACTGCCTGGAGTTGAGCTGCAAATGAGACCTGTCAAGAGAGAAATACGGGGCCTGCCAATGTTGACCACTTTGATTGGTTTCTGATTAACGGTGGGGACAGGAGGCACCAGAGACACACAGGATTGAGAGCCACCATCCGCACAATGTGTTGGCTGTTGGTTCTCATAAGTTTAGGTTCATACCTGCACGACACCTGGGACATGCGTCCCGGAGCCGTGTAATAGTGTGCTAGTGCACACAGCGATTGCCGCCTGGCCCTATTGATTTCAATGTGGTAACATCTGCGTGGCAATCGCTAAAAAAAGGTACAAGTACCTTTTTTGCGGCACGCGACGCGTGGCTTTTTTCACTTGCATGATCCGCACGGCGCAACTGGGGTGCCATTAAAAAAAATGGCACCCACAGCATGATCAGTTCACAATACCGTGCGGATTGCCGTGCAGTCAGGCTAGGTGTGATTTATATTGCAGTGTATGTGTGCCAAAACTTTTTTCTGGTTTTGGATGGAATATGGAAGTGTCATAACCTCTGTCAGGCTCTTATTGATATTAGAGTGGAGATTCGCTTTGTCTTTTTGTCCTGGTGACCATTATTTCTGGTGCAGAAAGTGATGGGAAATCTGAACTGTTGGGTTTTTCATTGGAACAGGAGGTGAGAAGAAATCTTACAATGGGGACATTGGTTCTGGTTACAACTGTCTGAAAGGGGATTTGGAGACATTTTCTTTCACTTCCTTTTGTGTCTCCAGGACAGGAAGTAAATGGAAAGCTAAAAAAGAAAAGAAAAAATAAACACAACAGGGGTCCTAACTCTATCTAAAACTGAAAAAAAAAAAAGTTTTGGCTTTACATGAACTTCAATGTATCTCGTCGTGCCGTGGAACTTTAATATACAGATTGAGGACAGGAAGCAGTTAATGCAGACATTTGATACTTGCCTTGATCATCTGTCCCGATGAAGCGGTTGCTCTTCTAAGGAATGCATTAACCTTGACTCCTCCACTACTATTGTAAGGCAATGAGCACAATAGGTTTGGAAGATACAAGGGCTGAGATGAGTCAGAGTTTCTGCAAATGTGCACTTGTATGAATATAAAGGATGGTTTCCACCTTATATCATGTCCTTTTTATGAATAGATACTGTGAATGCATTGTGTTAGTTTATTGTGTGTTCCTGTACTGTTGGATTCATTAATTAAAGTTTTTACTAAGATAGAATTCTCGTGGAGTGTGGCTTTTTGTGGCACTTTTAATAACTTTGTTATTGCTTAAGATGAGAAAACAAAGAAAAACAAATATATATATAT